GAATCGTACGGTGTCGAATAATTTGGTGTCGAATAAATCTGTGTCGAATCGAGCGGTGTCGAATCGTACTGTGGTCAATAGAGTGTCACCCCGTTCAAACGTGTATGAGAGCAAGTTGGCGTCGGTTGAGTGAGGAAGTGTAAGGGCGGGGGTGGCATCGGTCCCGAGAAGAATCAATCAGCGTCTGGGCACTTATGGCTCCCAATGAGTGAGGTTCAGGGGTAGTTGATGGAGATGATAGGGCCCCGAAGGAGGGACCAATGAGCGTCTGGGCACTTATGGCTCCTAATGAGCGTGAAGTATAGTTGAGAGCGTCTAGGCAAAATAGAAATCGAAGCAGGCGTCGCAAGACCGTGACTAGTAATTCAGGGATGTAATATAAAAAATGAATTTATGTGTCCGGATTTTTTCTGAACAATTTTCATCTGCGCGAACTTGTACGTGCGGGTTGACACGTGCGTGCCGATGAGAACATAAGTTTTTTTGAAGACAAAAAACGGTTTATGAGCCAAGACCGTTAAATCTGCGCGTACTTGTTCGCGCGAGAAACTTTGAGAAAATTCTACGAGAGTTTCCGATGAATATTCAATGTAGAATAAAATGTTTATAAAAATGTGTGAGGAGTTTAAGAATAGGTTTCTTGGGAAGAATAACAGAAAACAACTAAGTACAGTTATTTGATATAGATATATTTTGAATACATAAAAGAAAATAAAAAATTACAGTTGATTATTTTTTTTTTGTTTTACAAGGACAGAGTTGAATATAGTGTTCAGGAAAGCGGNTTTGTACATTGTTGGATTTCGTAGAGAATATTTTACGAAATAAACATACAATTAATTTGTCGTTGGCGTCAAAATTTCCGGAAAAGAGTTGTAAAAATTGGGAAAGACTATATCCGTGAGCCATAAAATAGAGAAACACACAGCAATAATGCCCGCATGTTTGCGAGAAATATTCTTGAAGTTGAGTCGTGTTCCATGTGTGCGTTGCGGAATTTCTTCGAAGTCGCAGAAAGAAGCGGAAATTTGACGGCGGTATTTCATAGCTGTCGAAGTAGGTGGCGTGTCTGTTTTCATCGAGGAAGAAGGCAACCCAGTGGGTTCCTGGTTGATTGTGATTGTCTGTGTTAGCGACGATTGCTGTCCACTTTGTCCACACCCTGGGCAATTTGTCGGCTGGATAAACTCCCGTGTGTCCAGATATTTGCAGTTGTCGCTTGCAATATTTTGCCATATTTCTTTCATATTCATTATTTCGATACAGATAGTCGCGAGAAAGCGGAGTGAATCTCATGTATTCCCTGTGTACCTCTGTTTGTACAGCGACGTTGTTTAGGCAAAAGGTTTTCGGTGGGCAATCGTCTTCACTGCGCGTATCTTCTTCTTCTGTTAGTTGTTCTTTCTCCTCCTCCGTTTTGATGTCGTTAGATTGTATCATGCTGATCTCATCGCTGACAAAGCCGCTATCAAGATGTTCTTCAACGCTGTTTAGGTTTAACCACCGTTTTAACCGAAAAGCGTTACGTGGAGCGCAACTAATGTCCGATGAGCGAACTCCATGATACGAACACTAAGATACGTTCTCTTCGCTTTTTGTGATGGATTTGAACGACGGAGAGAGAGCTTCCAGATTATATATGTTTTTAGACAGAAGCTTTTCTAAGAAATCCATTTTTTCTTTACCTCTGGTGTAGATAACGGGAGCGTATTTGGTGACTTTTCGTAGATGTCTCGTGAGATATTTGAGATTGGTTTCACCGTCAAACCATTTGATACCGTGATAAACTCGTGTAAGCCAATCGTTGCATCGTTTTGATTTTTGTGGTAATTTGGTAAACGAGAACGGAAGCATCAAGATCCAGTTTCCGAAAATCGGTCGGTCTAGCGCGACATACGCCACTTCTTTTGGAATAACTTCACACACGACTCCGCGAAACCCTTGCATTTCTATGATCACAGCAACGTTATACTCGGACATCGTGAAAACGAAGCGAAGATATCGGAGACTAGAACAAAACTGAAATTTCTCCACAAAACTGCGACAAAAAGCGTAGAAAAGTGGGCAAAATGTAGTGGAGGAAAATTATCTTGGTTTTACGCATGTGCGGGAATATGATTATCCGTTATAATCAACAATGATTTGGCGCGAAGAATCGATTTCCAAAACACTGTCGAATTCCGCATAAACAGGACAGTTAATAGTCGTTTTGAGATCTTTTTCGAACCGTGCTTTAATTCGCAAATTACCGTGCTTTACGAGATTCCAATGTTTGACGCAATTGGCCGATAAATCAGGTGTGAGATCAAAAGCGAAGAGTGTGTATCCGTGTGCATAAGCATCTCTGCTTATAGCATTGCCTTCGTTTAGAAAATGAATACCCGTTCCTGAGAAAAGAGTATGAAAAACCTCAATGTACAGAGGAGAGTCTCTTGAAACAGAAGGTTGTAACGGTGTAGTAGGAACTTGCATTCCATCGACGTAAAGCGACAGGAAATTTATATTAAAGTTTTTAAAATTAAACGGATTAAGTTTACTATTGCCGTTAAACGCCTTATTTTCGACAAAACCGATTATTACTTGCTTCGGCAGTTGCCCGAGTATGGCGTTGTCAATTGATTCCCCCACCACTCCTCTATGGATTATAAACGATTTAACTTTAATTCTCGTGAGAGGATACTTTGCAGTGGTTTTGCTCAGCATTTTAGCATGAGCTAATAAAACTCCAGCGCTTAGTTTTGCTCTCCTCATGATCAAGGTGGCGTCTACAAGACGAACTCTTGTCTGTGGCGTAGATTCCATGAAACAGAAAGAATCCTTTGAGTGGATGATTTTGAGGCGCGTTTCCATGCCATTAATCAGGAATTTATCCTGATTGAAAACGTCGCAATGTAGATGTCCTATGAAATCCACAACACGGTTATTTTTGAAATACTGCATACGTCTCACGAGAGCGGGGTTCTTAATTGGAGCATCAAAGCCGTCATCCATCAGCCCCGGAGGATCGCTATCCCATAAACAGGTGGTGAGATGAGAGGATTTTGCCTCTGAAGAATAATTCAACAATGTCTCGAAATAGGCTCGATACGCGTAAGCATTGTTCGGAGGCGACACAAGCTTTTGATTGGAGTACACATCAATTTGATTGAACATGGAATGTAAAAAGTTATTTACAGGCCCTACTTTATGCTCTGCAGCAGCAGAAGCTGTAGCTAAAGTAGCCGGAGTAACCGCTGCGGGGNTTTGCAATATCACGCGAAGACTGAGAAGAGTATGCGCGAGATCTATGTAATCTTCACCATGTCCCGGTACGACAAACTCCACGAGAGCGTCGTCCACAAGAGTCGACAAAGGTTTGTAATCCATTGCGAACTCTCGATACTGGTCTGAGTGGGCGGTAGAGTGAAAAAATCAAGTTTGCTTTTGAAACACTCACACGAGTGAGTATGGAGAAAAGACATTTTGCTTCGTCTACGAGAATATATCGCTCACGGTTCGTTTCTTGCTCACGCGGCGTTTGCTAGTTTTTGTCGCGCGCTTCTTCTTCTTTTTCTTCTTCTTCTAAATTCCTCTACTCGTTGTGCGCGTTTCATTGCTCGAGTTTTCTTTTCTCTCCGCACGGAAGCCGATTTTTTGTTGGTGCTACTAGCACGACGGCGACGCTTGATCGCAAAGTGAACGGGGAGCTCACCAGGGTCAAACTGACCCGGGCGTTTCTTTGCAAGGGATATATATCCCGACCCTCACATTAAGCTAATTATTTTTTCTTTTACTTGTTGTTTGAGATTGTCACGTAATTCTTTGAAACGATTGTTAACTGCTTCTTTTAGCGGAATATTGTTATCTCCCACATCGTCTATTATTCTCACACCGGCGTGTAGAGCTTCTTTTCCAATCGCGCGCGCTCCGCTAGCCAGGTAGGGAAGCACCCTCCTGAACAATCCGCCGAGAAAGCTTCCGATACCGTGACCACGCCTGACTGATACGTCGATCCCGTGAAAACTCTTGGAACACCGTCTCCGCTCTGCATCTCGTAATATTCCATATAATGAGCCATATTCTACTCGAATACGCGTCTAAAGTGTAACGTTGCCGTCAACGTGCCGAATTCGAATGGAATAAATTTACCAAACTGATCTCTTATATCTATTTCTATCACGCGGAAATGTGTTTTACAAAGCGGAATATAATTTCCAAGCGAGTAATGTTTTACCTGATTAGAACCGTACTTATCCGTGGTATTGTTAGTAACGATTTGAAGAAGCGGTGTTAGCGCATCTCCGGTTATGTATGCTTCGCAAATGTCGCAATAAACAAATAACTTGTCGGGGATAGCACGGGCCAAGTTGATTGGTTCGAAACTATCAACACCGGCAACTCTGTCTACTACGAAAGATGTATTAACAGAGGATGATTCAAATCCGAGTATACGACGCAATTTGTCGCTAAGCTTTACACTATGAATTTGATTGCATTTGTCTTCTTTACATGTAAGCGATATAGAAATTTTATTACCATATAGAGGATTCAGTGACCATGTAATATATGATTTTTCTTGAGAGCACGAATAATTTATAGCTTCTATAAGATCAGCTTCTGAAGAATAAATTCCCGACAAAATTGAAATGTCAACTGACGAAATATCGCCGTTAGGAAAGGTATTCGCGAGCGTTATCAGAGCTTCATCTTCGCGTAAATGTAAAAACTAGAAGAAAACTGAATCTCGCTGAGAGCAACTTCCCATTTTCTCTGCAAAATTATACGGCGAGTAATTACGTGGTAAAACACGAAGTGGTGTTGTGCGGGAAGTAAAGCATACTGCTATTGCTCGGGAGAACTACGAAAAAGTGTTCCTCTATTGTCATCATCATTGTTGCCGTCATTGTCTTGTGCAAGCGTTGTTAAACTTGAAGCCGAAATCCACGAGTTGAATTTAGACGGATAACCTTGCCAGCTAACTAGCAGTTGCCTATTATGTCCCCGACCTTTGCCCTTTATCACCCGATCAAAGATAAAAGTTTCTTCTTGTAGGGTTTTAACAACAGGAGCCAGTTCTTGCTCGTAGAAAATTTTGTCTATAACCTCATTCGCTAAATCACTCAGCTCGTAAACGCGAGGATTTTGCCACTCGAAACCACGATGAATTCGAAATATCTCTTCGCTTCACTTGGCCTCGTATCTCTTCTCAAAGACGGCATTCGCTCTACTGACACGTACGAGATCGCCGACGGAGTATTTAGCTGCTTTTGCTCGCTGCTTTTTCCAGCGATGCCACGTGTTTTCGCGCGCAATATTCGCGTTTTCCATCGTAACATCCGCGGGTATTATGCGTATGGAAGAGTGCGGCGTATGGTTGTACGCGTGCACGCTATCCTGCAAGACATCGAGATAACGTTTCGATTTTTGTGCGTGAAGTAGCGCCACATGCGCTCTTTTAGCGTTCTATTGAAACGCTCGATCACGGCTGCTTTAATGCCTGGATTACGCGCCACACGGAAACAAATTCCTTCTTCCTTGAGAAATTTTTGCAGCGGATGCGCGATAAATTCTTTACCTTTGTCGGTTTGCAGATATACGGGTCTTCGTCCGCCACTTCTCGAGAGAACGCGTTGAAACGCACGAAGGACTTGAGCACTTGTTTTGTCTCGCAACAGTTCCACCCACGCGAATTTACTGAGCACGTCGATAATTGTCAGTAGATAGCAATATCCGTCGTTATAGCTTCGCAAATTTCGCAATTCTATCAAATCAGCCTCCCAGAGATCGTCAATATTCGTCACGTTGTAATGCAGTCGGGGAAACTTTCGCCGCACGGGACGATGTAGCGTGTAAACATTTTGCGAACGAAGCCAGCGAACAACGTCCTTGCGCGAGTAATTCGGTTTAGCGGCTTGCGACAAATTTTCCGTCGACGAGTAACCGGCGTAATGCGCGGGATTATAATACAACTTGTCAAGCGTTTTGTTTACATTTCGTCCCACGTGAACAGCCGTCTCGGAATCCCGATTTGTATCTTTTTCTTGTTCTTGTCGTTGGCGCGGTAATCCCATCCTTCCTCTTCGGCTTCTTCTTCTTCATGTTCAATACTATGCGGAGATTTGCGCTTTGTTCTTTTTCCTCCTTTTTGCAAACAGCATAACTATTTAGGATTTCCAACGTATTGAGGAGGCGTGTTTATGTCGCGAAGTAAATGAGCGAAATGAATGGCCCCCAGTATTCCAGCGGTTTTTCTTTCTCGCATCGCATTGTTTACGAGTTCTACAATATTTGCTCCCACTAATTTTGGACTCTTGGTCACGACGCCGCGTTCGTTCCATGTGATCTTGACGGNAACAGCCGTTTCGATCAGATGATTCAACAGCATTCGTGCTTTGGGGCGGTAAGTTTTTGGAGTTGTTTCTATTATGTTTGTTATAGTTTTTCGTTTGCGAGAGCTCGTTGCGCTGTTGTTGTTAAATAAAATATCTGCAAACAATACATTTTTCTTCGGAGTTGACTGATTAATCCGTTGATATTGATTATTATTGTTATTATTGTGTCGTAATGGTGTTGCATAATGTTTTGGTAAAATAGAGGATGTTCGAAGCAAAGCGTCCATTGGTTCTTTCGCGTCGTGAAATAGTTCTCTCATTTCCTCGTCGTCCTCCTCCTCCTCTTCCCTTTCTTCACCAGTCACAGCAGTTGTTTCCGCCACGGATGGATCTTCTTCTTTGCGAGAACGCTTTCTCGTTTTTTGGATAAAATACAGATATCGACAAAGTACTTCGCTGTACAATTTTCATTTTTCACCTTCATCAACAGGGGAATCGAGAATACGTCTCATCTCCGCGTCGAGACGCGAGAGCACGGTTCCGGGAGTGCGTGTGGTATTAGCAGTGGTATTTTCCCCCGCCATTTGGTGTTGCATTCTTTCGAGATTATCCGTGGAAATCAGCACCATTTTTTTAGCCCGTTCCATGTTTACTCGATAATTCGAGATAATAAAGCTGTGAGTATGGGCCCGATGATGTACGGTAAAAAGCCTCCTTGTTGCAACAGCAGGTTTCTCTTGCACCTCCAAGTACCTCTTCGTTCCGCGATACGTCGCAGCGCCGTTTTGTATCGGATTAAG